GTTGGGGCAGGAGAGTGAGTACGAGAGAGAGGCACACGAAAGGGAAAGGCACGACTGGTGGCTAGGGCACAATAGGAAGATGGGTTTTACTTTTTAAGTGATGGGTTCGGGTCGGGTTTCGGGTCGGGTTCGGGGAGGGTTTTATCATATGGGTTTACAGCTAAAAAACCGCTTTGAAGCGCTTTTTAGTGCTAAACCCGCGATGTTTTACTAAAACCGGCGATTTCGAGCAAAAGGCGGTTTTCTCCGCCAAAACACCCGCGATCCCCCTAAGCGACGTAGTGAAGCTCCGCGACTGTGAAAAGCGTCGCTATTTCCCGCTTTTTACAACATTGGTTCATATGTAAGTAGATGGAGATGGAGCTAAGAATAGTACAAGAGTTTAATTGAATAATGTATAATGATAATAGTAAGATTATGACAAATTAATTTTTATATGGATCTGAGTAACAATACCAAATACGTATGGTGTGCAATGGATTGTCATGTCCTATCTTTCTATGATTTATGATGTTTGCATGTCCATATAAATACTTTAGATCAATGTCTATACTTCAGACACACAGATCTATCGTACGATATATTTTCTTTTGATATCACATTGATTTTATCTGTGGCTACAACAATTTGGGAAAGTGGTCTTTCTGTAATGAAGTTTGTAAAGAGGGAGTTGAGGAAGAACATGGAGTTATGGAACAAATGGAGTTGCAGAATAAAATGAGTAATTGTTGGCGCAATGATTGCTCAGTAACGTATATTGAGAAAAATATACTTGATAGTGTTATAGATACTGTGATTATGTACTATTTTCAAAATATGATAACTCGTCAAAGACAGCAGTAAACTTTAAATTATTAATTCTATAGTGACTCATCTTTCCAAAAATCCTACATCAGCCATGACAAAAAGAGAGCTGCAACTCCCAAGAGGGTTAGGGTCCGTTCGGTTGGCAAAAAAAGCATGAAAATTAAAGATAAGAAAACATATTTCCTATAATAGGTTGATTTCTTATGTTTGATTCACTTCTTAAAAGTAAAAAGGAGATGAGATGAGATGGGTTGTCACCGTATTATTGGATGATGTGAGTGGTTTTTAAAAAAGAAATTATAAAAAATATTTTGAGGTTGTTTGGTTGGCTAAAAAAATAAGAAAATGAATTATAAGAAACTTATTTCCTTGTTCAGGTTTTTTTTTGTTTGGTTCATTCTTAAAACTAAGAAAATAGATGAGATGAGATGAGATGAGTTGTCATTATATTATTGGATGATATGACGCATGATTAAGGAAATCAATTTCCTTGTTTTTTTAAGGAAATGAATGGAAATGAAATGTTAATGAGATGAGATGAGTTGTCACCATATTATTGGATGATGTGGATGATTTTTAAAGATAAGATGAGATGAGATGAGTTGGATGATGTGACCAATTTCTTGTGTTTGGTTTATTTTTAAAAGTAAGAAAGAAGATAAGATGAGATGAGTTGGATGAAAAAAATATTTTATTGGATGTTGGTGATTTTTAGAGATGGAAATAGATGAAAATAATATTTTAATAGTTTCCATGTACCAATTTCCTTTTCTTGGCTTTTAGGAACCAACCAAACGGACCCTTACTTACAAATCGACAACCGTCTTAAACTTTGTTTAATCTGGAATCTTGTTCAGCATTTCCTAGAAACGACTTTGTGAATATACGCATACCTGCCCTGTGAAATCTATAAATCCCCACCATCAATTTTTATGCTCAATTCCAATTCTCCAGGTCACACATGCAAAGTTCTAACCCTGATATATCTTTAAACCTACCCATCTCCAAAATCATTCTTAAACCCAGAATTGAATTATTTTTTAAACTAAAAACATACCATCTTGAACCAAAACATGGCTACATGTTACCACAAAAATAGCAACTTAGATGTCAAATATAGCTGTTGATACGCCAATCGTAGCAACTTAAACAGAGACTGGGTTTAAAAGTAATTCAATACGATCATTTTCGATACGCGAATGAGTTTTGGAACGGGGTGGGGTTCATAAACGAGAAACCCAATCATCATTCAGGAATTTTATCAAACAGTTGGTGTGCGACATCTTCTAACAAAACAAAAAAACTCGACAATTGACTTCAATGAAGATACCTGATACCTGAGATGATCCAGACGACGGCGACGCCGAGAAGAGAAGCGCCGATATAAGGGACGAGAATATCGGATTGAGTCAAAGATATCGGAAGGAATCCCGGAAGCTCGAGATCCCTCGGGATGTAAGGGTGATCAACTGCCATTTTCTCTCCCTTCTCGAACTTTGGATCTGAGCTCCGAAATCTTGCAGCTGCTCCTTCTGGATTAAAATTGATTTATCTGCGAATAGATCCCAACTTGTGGTTGGAATTATTAATTGGGCGCGTGTTTAAAATTTTTATAAAAAAAATGACAGCGCGCTGCACGTGATAACGAAGGAGGTGAACGAGGCGTGTTTGAAAATGAGAAGTGGGAGGTACTCGAGCCTGTGACAGCTATTCTTTGGGCCTGCGCGAACAGAACTAGGCCTCGTTTTTTGACCAAATAGCAGGGCTTGATGGATTTTGGACCTGCTGGCGATGGGCTACCGATTTATAACCGGCATATACCTCCTTATTTCATATCTTATACTAGTTGAGATAGCATGTGCAATGCATGTGATTGAATATCATGGTTATTCAAATTGATAAAAATAGAGTAAAAAGAAAAGAAAATAAAGATTTTTATGGGATTGATCATCAACTCAATAATCTCTCTCTCAAATAAAATATTAGCATTGTTTCCTTCAACCTAGAATGTGGCCACGTTATCTACTATTTGTGAGTTATGAACACATTAATCTAGTACAACATCTCTGTTTATTAGTATCTTGAAGTCTTCAAAAGATGGGTGATCGTTCAATTCGCAAAGGAGTTTTGCATATGCATTTACTTGTAATATGTCCATTAAACTTTTAGCTGTGGTTTGACTTATATTCACATTAACTTTTAGTTATGGTTTCACTCATATTTATATTTTCTAATATTCTCATTCAAATTTATAGCTCATTTTCTGTATCATAGAAGTAAAACTAAAAGCATGAAGAATTATTTTTTTGCGAAATTAGAGTAGGGAGATTATGATATATTTCGCTATGTGCTCTAAATATGAAAATTTTCTTTTCTTTGATGTAAGGTCCTTATCAAATCTTACCCCAAATAATGTGAATGAAAAATGCTATTATAACTCACTTGCCTAGAGCAATTGTATTGTATATAGGACATATAACTCATCTGGAATATCCATATTTGCTAAGTGGATTTTACTATTGTGAGAGCAACATGTTAGAGGCTCGTATTCAAACTTTTTGGTTTTATAAACACAAGAATTTAGAGTGCATAGCTTATATATCGTAAAAAAAACATATTAGTTCATAAAGAAATTTCCCTAATAATGATATGATTACAACGATGTTACCTATTCAGTATTAAATCAATTTTATTATATAAGATCATATGACCCTTTTTAATAAAATATAAAGCATATATATAAAAAACCTCGATGCTTATAGCAAGTAGTTGGGCTCCACAAAATAGGTTAACTTTATATTATAATTTGCTAATTGTAGTACTATTGGCAATGCCATTACCTTTTCTCTTTATCTTATTATTCACGCTTTTCTAGTATGAGTTCTCTTTTTCTAATCACTCAATTAGCTATATTTAGTTTTTATAATATCAAAGGGCTATATTTAGTTTTTATAATATCAGAGGTTAGAGTATTCTCTTCTGTTTAAAAAGTGTTGATATTATTTTTTTTAAAATATATACACATAGTAGCAATAGTATATACTTCAGTTCAACTCAAATATTGGCTTGAAGCCATTTAGAGTGAGGTTATTTCTACGCTAGAATGGTGATATAGTGATTACACAGTCTAAAAGTCAAAGAAGAAATTTCTACAAAGGAAAAGTAATTTAATATGTCAAATTAACAACTAATTTATAAAATATACATGGGCAGTGCGGATAGCTATAGAGTATACATCTTCATGAAAATTCCATAGTAAGTGACCAACTATAATCATCCTAATTTAAGCATAAATAATTATTATTTTAGTTACTAAATTGATACATGTAACTATGGAATAAATCTCAAGCAAAAAATAGAAATTGAGATTGTATTATCATGTAGGTAAATAAATAATTTTATTAGTGCTCCTCTTTATATTAAATTTAAAAGTAATAATTTAAATTATTAAGCACCAAATATTAACTCATATGAGAAAGTAAAGTAAGCTATGGTCTATATACATATATATGTTTGCGTTGAAAATCAATTTCTTAGTGGAATCAATTACAAGTTGTTTATCGATTACAATAGATTCACGAGATTTAGCCTTTTTATAAGACTTCTCTACTCATAAGAAATACACACAAGACTTCCTAGAAACACACTCAGAGATCGTTTATCGGTCGCTGCTTGCGTGAGATCTTTGCCTGTGATGGGGACACGTTAGCCCGTGGACCACCGAATCACAGATCTAAGTTGATCGTGAAGAAGGCTAGGTGTTCTTGTTTTGTTAAAGAAACAATAACAGAATTAAATGACCTTAGCAAGGTGAGATTACTACTCTTTTCAAGATCAAATCGATGTTTAATCTCAAGGGAAGGGTGAAATGGCTGTAGATCTCTCGAAATCTTCCGTTTTATGCTAAAGTTCGCCAAGATCTCACCTCCCTCTCTCTAAAATTTGTGGCTCTGCTCTCAAAGCGTCGACAACTCATCTAAAATCCCAGATCTCATCAGTATTCATCTGTACCCTTCACAAATGCACGAATGGGGGTATTTATAGTCTTCGAATGTCGTGTTTGTGGATAAGAATTCGTGATTTGGACGTATCTTCAACTGGTAACGACTTTTCCGTATTTGAGGATATTCCCAAAGTAGTTAGGAAGCCAGTGGAATGCACGAATCTTGAGAAATTTTATCAAAAAACGCATCGGGGAGTCCTGTTTGGGTGAGACAAATTTATGTGTCTCACCATGCATACGAGACACATTTATGTGTCTTGCCATGAATGTGAGACACATAAATGTGTCTCGCAATTTTGACGAGACACATTGATGTGTCTCACCATTTAGGAGACACATTAAGGTGTCTCGCAAATTTTAAGACACATTCATTGTCTCATTTTGTCGTTTCGTCGTTTTGTACATTCCGTCGCTTCATTGTTTTGCGCATTCCGTCACTTCTTTTTGGCATTGAATGGTCCTCTTTGACTTAGATGATAACGTTAATCATGTCCTCTTCATCTCGAGCTGTGTGCGAAAACCTATATGTATTTTTTGACGTCTACAGATAGCCCCTCTAAAGTTTTTAGCCTCCTCAATATTTATTATTAAGGAGTCTAGAATACTTTGGATAAGATAAATCCAACCTTCAATTCTTGACTTTTTCAGCTTTCAGTCTATTCAGTATTTTGTCGAATAGTCTAAAATTCTTCCGGTGCTACATTTATCGTCTGACTGTTATCAAAATCTTGAACTGAAACTAGTGCGTTGATACCTAAATTAGATTGCATCGTTAGATCGATGTTAAATTGGTTACCTTCTGATACGAGTCGTCTTACGAGCACCTTTGATCGTGGAATTATCAAAGGTGGGTTGAGAAGAGGATGACAGAAACACAAGAATAATTCAGTATGTGGCGAAGGAAAATATCTTCTCTAGATTATGAAGAATCAATTATTACAAATCTCTCCCTCACAATCTCGCTAGAATAGAGAACAACCTCTCAATCCTCTCTAAACCTTAATACAATAATTAGAATTTCTCTCTGATCTAAGATCATGTTTAGAAACCCTAAACAACCATTTATATAGGTGTACAAACATGGATGGCAATCTGGTAAATTATCAGACCAAACCCCAACATGAATTCATGCAAACAGAAACCCAAACGAACCAGGAAATCTTCGATGAGTCGACTCATGACTGAGATGAGTCGACTCATCCGAAACTAGATAAAACACAAACACCAGCGATGAGTCGACTCATGACAGGCATGAGTCGACTCAACTCCGAAACTAGATAAAACACAAACACCAGCGATGAGTCGACTCATGACAGGCATGAGTCGACTCAACATGATGAGTCGACTCATGACTGTTATGAGTTGACTCACTGGCTGAAAACTGGATGCTTTACTTCTTCGATTCACCGTCTCGTTCCACACTTTAACCTATGTTTCATTATGCTATTTTACACCTCTATTCTCAAGCTACCATGAGAATCATCTATCCTCAAGCTCCCATGAGGATCGAGTTCTGAAGAAAATTATACACCAGTATCATGGGTCCCCCCTTTAGGAACTTGAAGTCTCGTTCAAGTTAGAACTTCAGCTGAGGAAACTCGCGAGCTCCTCCATCCTTTCTGTACCACCTGGCTTTGCTAGGAACCTGATATCGACGTACAACTAAAAACGACTCCTTCGCTCCTTGCCTTGTCATAGTCGTCTTCCACTCCAACATGCAATCCTCTTTCGATGGCTTTTTTGGAAGTCTAATACACAGCGAGACAAACTTCTTGCTTGCATTCACTAGCCTCTTCGCTCGTGCCGCCGTCCCTAAGCTTGTCTCCCTCGGAAGAGACGCCGAACGAAATATGAACTTTTCACTGCCTTTGGTGAATGTATACTTCTAAACCCGCCTCTCGTAGATCACATATCTATCCCATAAGTACGGATTACCCAATATAATCTGACAAATATCCAATGGAACTACATCGCACGCAACCTCATCAATATACGACTCATGGAGTGCAAATCTGATAGTTCATTGATCAACTACACTCAGTCTCTCCTCCTTCTGAATCCACCCTAATGGATAGAGCTTTAGATGTTTGACCATCTTCAGACCCAGCTTCTGAACCAAGGTCTCGGATATCAAATTCTTCTTGCTGCCTAGATTAACTATGGCATCAACCAAACTGGTTTTCACTTGCAACTTAAGCACAAAGAGTTGCTCTCTAGGGTCTTCGTCCTCTTTCGTGACTTGTTTCCCCATCATAAGGTTGAGACTGATGTTGGGCTCTGTCATCCTAGGAACTTCCTTTGGACCCTGTGCTATATATCACGTATGCCTTTTTCTCCTCCTTCTTCTTCAATCCTCTTGGCTTCAGATGAGGATACTTCTCCCAGCATCGATCAGCTACGTGTCCTGTCTTCTCGCAATGACCACAAATCAGTCCTGCTTTCCCTGAATCACCCTTTTTCTTCTCCTCCTTAGATTGAGAACCACTAGACTCACCTCCAACTTGCTTTGCATCTCCATTTGCTTCGTTGCTATTCTTTTGCTTGCCTTCGATGGCAATAGCCTTCATGCTCGCCTCTGCAATAGATTCCACCGTGAATAACTTCATCTCCTTCCGGATGTAATTGTTCAATCCCGCCATATACTTCATAAATACAGAATATTCCTCTATCACAATGTT